CCCCCCCCCCTTTCTTCCACAAAATATGAGTTTAAGACCCCCCTGATTTTAAGACAAGAAAACTATGTTCAGACCTTGACCATTTTGACAATGAGACTAATGACTCTTTAACCTAGAACAGATCTTATTAAGGGCGATCCTCTACATGTAAAAGTAAGACAATAATCAATCCGATTCCATTATGATGGGTTGTAACTGCTCCAACCCAGCTACATGAATAAACCTGTTCACGTAAGGTCCTGCTTTTTCTTGACTCCAGAGTTTGGGATTATAGGCAAAGAGTATTGTCACGTAAATGGCTCATAGCTCAGTACAAAGAAATGAAAATGAAAAGGAAAATTATTTTCAACAGTAAGAGAAATAGGAAAACTTAAAAGTAACATTCTTCCTAAAGCCACTGCACAAGGTCACTTATGTGGCATTAATTAAAAACAAAAAGGACTGCCACTTCCAGTATTTTATCTACTACATTAAGGTTTGTGCCCACAAAATAAAACCTAAAACGCTACGCAGGAACTGATATGCATGAACATTCCCATATGTGCAATTTCATAGGTTCAAAACAGCAACATCAATAATAACTATAGGTGTAAATTATTGAAAACTAATGACACCTAATGCAAATGGTAATGAAAACAAAGTAACTCGTTTAAAATAGAATAAACTTATGCTAAACCTAGGAAACAGGGATTTATATAAATACCACCAACAGCTTTCAGCAATGCCTTATTCATTGCTTGTGAAGAAAAGGGATTTTTTTTTTTTTCAAAACTAAAATGATTGGACCTATTGTAAAGTTCTGCCTTCAGCAACATACAGAGTTCATTGATAGATGTCATGGCTAGTATGGTGTATGTGTCTACAGTGAAAAAAAACAAGCTTTTAATATATTTAAAGTCTTTCAATAATTAAAAATCAATCAAATGTTTATGCTGTCGGTCAAGACGAAAGGAAAGGAAAGGGAATAAATCCAAACAGTTGATGCAAAATATCTTTTCATGAGCAAATCTTTTTCCCGAAAGAATTCAGGTTAGCAAAATTAGATTATTCATGACACAGTTGGGTGAGGAAATAAAAGTATTCAAGATCAATGAATGAGAAAATACGTACAGGTTCACAGTAACCTGTGCTGACATTCATACAGCATATAACTAGGTCAGGCCTGGTGACAGGCACTTCAAATGATTTTCCAGTACTTTGGTGCTAGGAAAAGAAAAAAAATGTCTCGGATGACTACTATATCAAGAACTGAGAAGAGGCCTTCTGCGTTTCACTTTCAGCAGTTCATGGAAATAAGATGCCCTTGAAAAAAAAAATAGTGCAACAACGTTTGCTGTAGTATTCTACATTCTCCAACACAATTCCATATCAACATGAGGTATGATGGCACCCCTCCCCAACCAATTGAAGCGGCAGCCTGAATCTGCATCACATTAAGTCTTTTGTTGAAAGCATAAGCACCAACTACTCCCTTCGCATGATATCACAGCTACGCTTTCAAAGCTTAAAATTCATTTTTTTCTCTCTACTACAACCTGTATCAAACCATAAATCATTATTACCTTTTAAATATGGCAGGACGAAGCAATATCCATGAAGCACTACGAGCTGGGATACCACTCACTTTATTTCAATTTACATGTATAAACTTATTATAAAATCTGAAACTTTTTTGACGGAGGCAAAATGAAGGAAGGAGGTGGTTCTTAGACCTTAAGGGAGGTATGGAAAGGTTTGGTGGATAAAATAATGCTTATATTTTTACAGAAAGTATGTCATTACTTCGGTAATTTTAAAAATAATTCCCAGATACTATTTTTACAGAGCAATTACCAAATATATTTTCCCTTTGTAATACAGTGGATTATGTGGAATATCTCTCCATTTGTGGACTAACAAGCTCGAGGAATCCCAGCATAATAATCTACCAAACAGTTCTTCAACATTTCCACCATTTCCTTGTAACTGCTGTATGCAATATGAAGATTTGGCTTCACTACATAACGAAGCAAACTATAAAAAAGGCAGTGCAGCCTTTCACATGATGTAATCAGACTACCTTCAGCGAACTCATTTTTCCCTACAAAGACAGCATAAAAGTGCACTTGAAGCAAACAATTGAACAAAAAATTGAACATAAAAGGAAGCTGAAGGGAGAAAAAAGTTGTTTAAAGCAATATATTATTTAAAGACAGAACCACGTAAGACAGTCATCCTAAAAATATAAGGGGGGGGGGGGGGGGGGGGGGGGAAGGTCCCTGTTTCTCAAGATTAATTTTCAAACACTTCTTGCCTTTTTGGAGTGCTTTGGGAAAATAGCAGCAGTCAGCAAATTAACATAGTCAATATAAGGCAAAAACAAAGATAGAAAAGTAAACAAAGCTATGGCAAAACTCATCATTCAAAAATTAAAAATCATATTTCTAAGAAGCAAAAGTCAATGAAACCAAGTATCGATGAGATGTTTCAGGGAAAAAATGGTTTCATTAATTATAGTAACCCTTGACCTTTTCCCGAGTTCACAAGCATAACTCCAGACAATTCAATTGCACAAAAAGTGGAACAAATATGATTCTAAAAATAATAATAAGTGTACATTAGTGTAATGACAATGCCTACCACAAACATTTAATCATGTTCAAATCAACATAAGAATATGAAAAGAAGAAACATTTTTATTTATGGCAAAAGAACAACGTCAGAGTTTCAAAATAATGAAGATTTTCTATAAGAGAATTTGATTTGCAAGGAGGCCAAATCTTGTGATTTATGTTAGGCAGAGCTGCGTAATGAGGAATAAATGAGAAGAACAAAAAGACTGACGAAAAAGAGAAAAATACTAGGAGAAAAAAAACAACTTTGAGCGCCTAATAGAATGCAGAATCTGAAACCAATATGTCTTGTCAAACTCAGAATCTCTGATCAATTTTTTTTTCATCAAATGGACAACATAATTCGCGGAAGTTTGAATTTTTTTAAAGGGTAGAGTTTAAGAAGAAACACAGCCAGTCTTTTTCTTGCAGGAGGTAGACTCACCCGCGGATTTTTCTAACAAATAAAACCACTAACTACAGTCTTGCGCAGTTGTACTGCAACGTAATCTGTTTGATTCCTGTAATTAATGGTTTTATTCTTATCTTAAATATCTGTTGGATAAGACATAAAACTGCAACCAATATGAGCACATAGGCATCAAAGGCAAACACAAATATTACTTGCTGGAAGGAAAATGAGTAATAAAAAAGCAAAAAAAACTTAAAAAACAAAGTTTGAGATTAAATTTCCCTGTTGTGTTATTATGTTAAAAATTAAACATAACAAATAGAGAGACCAGAAGAAAACAAAATATAAGATATGCCTTTTACATATAAACCACATTATTTCTTAGGGGGGGGAGGGGGGGGGAGATGAGCAGGAGAGAAAAGGGATAAGGAGGGCAGTGTAATCTCAACTCAATGGCATATCCACTCTGTGATGGAAGAGATGGTACGAGAGGGCCATGGACAGGTATTAAAGCATGCAGCGTGGTAGCTGAACATACACATTTTCGCAGTATGGACAAAGAACAAAGGAAATCCACTTCAAGCAGTCACTTGTGGTGCTTACCTTTGCCATACATGATGGGGATATGATCTGTGCTCAGTTTTGTGTTGCTCTTCACCCCAACAAGGAGAGGGCTACCACGTCTAAAAGAGGCAATAGGAGAATCAATTTCTTTAGTTTTAGTAAGAGTTTTACAACGCTTGCAACACAATACAGTCATATAAGTGCCAAGGATTAGAGGAGTACACAAGAGAATAACAAACACAAAAAGGAAGGAGAGATAAGGATGAAATAAGAAAGTGGCAGCAAACCACACTAGAGCAATTAATTTTTTTAATTTGTTTGAAAAGACGTATTAAAGAGGAACAAAATGTGATTGGTCTCACAAGTAAACAGCACAATTTAGAAAATAAGATCACACCTTTTTCAGACCATTTTAAAACCTGAACCTTGAAAAATCTCCCAATAAAAGATCTCCTAGCCATAGAGTTTCCTTAACGTATCCACCATTTCTTAATCTTTCACCAATCGTGCACTATTTTCATATCTTTTATCAATTTTTAAAAAACCTTTTCCACATTTTTTGTTAACCCATGCACTGCATCAATTCTGTCCTTTTCATTCCTTTCCCCCTGAACACACTGTCCCTTCCTCTCACCTTGTTGCCACAATGTCCCCAGGATAATGTTTACTCATCACAGCTATGGCAAAGGCCCCTTCCTGCAACAAGAAAGATCATCAACAGAAAATGACTTACCTCAACTGTAAGTGAGGCCATTTTTCACAAGGTATTTATTTACTTAACTTGAACTGAACCTGTCAAAGATGATCATGCATTGTGGAAAATAAAAGTGGTTATTTTAGACAGGTGGTCCTTTTGGACAGTCTCATTATAATTAAGAAAAATTGAAAGAGGAGAAATCGGCAGTGGTTGCTGGTATAGATGATTATATTGGACTGGTGGTCATTAGAGAAGATTCAACTGTATTTAGATTCATCAAATGTGTCTCACTTTTCAACTATAGGTTAAGCAAAAAGGCAAAAAACTGTTTTGGCGTCATTTTCTATCTTTGGCTTAAACACTTTAAAGAGCTTTTTTTAAAAATGTACATTTTCAATTCCTAACTGACAAAATATGTGTGCGACCAGAGAAAGCCACTGCAGACTGTTTCGAGCTACAGGCTGATAATGACAAAAATCACTTTTTTGACCAAAATGTGTTTCCATAAAAAATGATAGATCCAACATTTTTTTACAATGTGCTCAAAAGGTTTTCATTGATTTGACTTCTAAATGTTTAATTTTGAATTATTTTGAGGGAAGCGTTTAATAAAAACAAATAATGAAAACTGCTTTTAATTTAAAAGTGTTACAATCTATTGTTGAAGCACGTTTTCTCTTCCTGCTATGTTTTACCATTGAATTCCCTTCATGATATCGATGTCAACTGAATGCCAAATTGGAAATGAATTTTACATGAATAAACACATTTAAAAAATTGTTGTTTTTAAAAAAAGTTTGTATGTGTTTTCATGTTTATTAAACTTATAAGCTCATGTTCTCAAAATTGTATTTGCATACCCTACCTCGCAAAATGTGCAATATTTCAAAAGCTACTTGAGATATTTCAAAAATTAAAAAACCCCTGAGTTCAGCATTGAATTTCCTATAAGGTGCAACCCTAAACTCAAAATGGTCAAAATCCGACTTATGGTACCTTTCTTTGGGCACACATACAAATATTGAAAAAGCAAAAAAAAATTGAAAATTAAAGAAAAATGGAAAACTGCAAGAGAAGAACAAAACAGTAAAATGAGACAAAAACATAAAGGATTACTGACCAGTTGAGCAATGGTCATCTCAATGAGTTCCCGAAACTTGAGCTTCTGCTCTCTGTGTGAGTCATACAAATGCTTGATGAGCTTGGCCACAACTTCTGTGTCTGTTTCTGTCTCAAATGTGAAGCCTTTCTGTACCTGAAGAGCAAACACACTAATGGGAATGAAGAAAACCTTCAATGGCATGATGAGATTGTCTGCATTGGTGTGATTTTGTGAGTGGATGGATGGATGGATGGATGGATGGATGGATGCCATTATAAACCAAATAAAACAAAACAATAACAGTTTCAATTACAACAACAAAGGCAGGAAATATGAATATATAGAAGGTTTTGTGATTTAAGTGAGAGCGTGATCCTGTACAAAAGAATGTGAAAATGCACTTGTGTAGTGTGTAACAGAGCACATGCAGTGTCTGAGAAAATTAGAATCGTTACAGAGGTAGGAAACATTTAACCCTATCCGAACACCCTGGGGTCATTTTGTACCCCAGGGGTTGTATTCTCCACATTATAGATTATTCTAGTAAGAAGATCTCTGTGAAACTTTCAGTATTTCTCAAAAAATCATTTTGACAGACTGCTACGCAAAGCGTACAGATCGGATTAACATGTAAATTTCTTCTTTGGAAAGAGGTGGCACAGAGCTCCCCACGTCATATACATACGATAGTAAAACACGATGTACGGATAGGGTTAAGACAGTAATCCTTCACTTATGTATCTGTTTTGAAATGACAGTTCCTGTTCAAACTAGAGCTCTCGTGGCCTAAAGGTTAAGGTGTTGGCCTCTCATTCAAAGGTCCCGGGTTCAAATCCGGGTAGCGACCAAAAAAAATTCTTCTCTAAAATTGTCTCCTTCCACCTCCTTTCCTGCTCTCTAGCAATGTACTGTTGTCTGCTTTCATTTCCACTTTCTGCCCCCACCCCCTCACCTCCTTTGCCCCCTCCTCTGGGCTCCTGACTCTTTCTGCAGCCTTTCTACTGTTACTCCTTGGCTCCTCCTTACTGCTGTCTTTCTGCCACACCCCTGATCTTCTGGTAGGAAAGATCTACACCTAGCCTTCTCGGACAAGGGCGAAAAATCTCGGAGGGCACGTGTGCAAGTTGCGCACGTTAAAGATCCCTTGGTGGTCTAAAAATCGATAAGAGTAGGCTTCGGCCGCCACCCAGGCAAAATTCAAAATTTCCTACCAACTGAAAATATTAGGAGTGTCCCGCGCGCTCATATGACCTATGCAGTTGCGAGCGCCGTAAAACACTTTACAAAAACAAAAAAACAAAAAAAGAGCGCTTCATGGGTTTAAAAAAAAGGGCCGTGGGAGGGGGGGGGGGGGTAGAGGAGGAGGGGGGAAGAGAAAGAGAGGGCACTGTCCAAGCTACAGTACAAGTAGGCCTATAAAGATATACGTGTCACGACGTGGTGGAATCAGGCACTAGTCATTTTTTAGGCATGTGGAGTTATTAGTATTATCTTAAAGCTTGTTCAGTCGTCTTGGTATCGGTGGAAAAAAAAAATGCCCATCTAGCTTAAATGAAAGTCAAAATATGTGAGTTTGAAGAAGGTGGGGTGGCCTAGTTTCAACGGTAGAAAGAGCAAGAAAATGGCAGCCAAAGTTTGATTATTTCCATAGCTTGACAGTCCGTAGAAACTGAAAACTTAACTTTTTTGTGCCTTTAATCCAGGTTGTCCAGTAAAATCCACCTAGAAATGTGTTCCTTATTGGACAACAATGGTTTAAGCCTAAAAACAAAAATTCTATAAAATTGCCAAACTGGAAGAAAAATGAGTTTCTTCAATTTCATTATTTTGACAAGTGCTTGATTTCACCATGTTGCCTCACATCGTCCTATATATTAATTCATGCTTCATAACTGAATTGTTGGTTCTTACCAGAAAAGATTTGATGTCCTTGTAGTTGGTGATGATACCATTGTGGATGATAGCAAATTCTGGGAACAATATAGACAATATACATGAGTCATTACAATGATAACTGAATTCAAAGAAACAGCTAAAAGAACATTATGTCTTAAGCAAACTAAGGTACAATTGTTTTCTTTTTAATTCATTGGCAAAGACGATCATGATTCTCATCATCATTATCATTTCACTACAAACATTGCAAAGCAAGAGATTCAAATTCAAATTTGTAACATTCCCACCACTGTATTGTTAACTCTTTCACTAGTTCAAGGCTTGCCAACATTTTTTAAAAATCAGTAAAGGACATCAAACATTATAACATCACATCATGAAAGAAGAAAGAAAGCAAGTGGAACTGGATTTGGTGTGAGGTATATATATGAAAAGACTCTCAAATTCCAGACTGCCAAATCCAGGACATTCCTGGAAAATCCCAAACAGTAGGCAAACCTGAAGTTCAAAAACAAAAATAATGAAACAATATCAGTCATCACCCACTTACATTCAAAACAACCATAGCCAACAAATAAGAAAAGCAATCAAATGTAAACATGAGGAATATAATTTATTCCTAGTACAAAGCTGTGATGGGGGACCACGTGCTCTGCACTCATGACTTAGTCTGAAACTAACAGGGCATTTTCAAGAGTAACAAAACAAAACAAAACAGTGAAGAAAAGAAAAAGTTGCCGATTTAGATCGTCAAATTCAAGGGGAGACTAGTCATTACCTGTGTTCGGATCAGATCTTTGAGGATGAGCATTCTGAGGGCTAGGCTCTCCGTGTGTGGCCCAGCGGGTATGTGCAATACCCACATGTGTATCAAATGATTTTTTCAGGTCAAGGTCAGTTGTCTCTGGAAAATAAGACAGAAAGACACAATAAGGCATACACTTTATTGTGAATGATAAATGTATTCTGTTAGAAAATACTTAAATTAAAGTCAATTTGTGTTTTTACTTTTACAATAGCAGCAATACTGTAGTTGCCAACCTCATGCAAATTGAAAGATAAAATCTGTTTGTTTGAAAGAGGACTTTCAAAAATATCTGGGACTAACTGTAGTAGTTCTCCTACTTCTATAATCTTCAGCAGAAGTAAGAAAGTGAAGAACAATAAATCATTATCAAAACAAATAAAAATGATTAACTTTGCATTCCTGACTATTGATCTGCACATTTGAAAACCATCTGAGCTTTATCTGATAATTGTTGCTCGTATGTTGAATTCTAAATTCAATTCTGATTTTAGAACACATGTTTCTAAAGGCAAAAAATCAATAAAGACACCCCCATTAAAAAAGTACAAGATCATAGTGATTTTCGCTTTCTTTTTTCTTGATGCTATAAAATGTTTTAAAAAATAAGGACATCACCTTCAACCAATTTTACTAAAGCAGCCACTTTGCCAGTCTGTTTGAGGATACGAATTCTGCTATCTTCATTGCCCTCAGCACCTTCAATTGCAAGACCTGAAACATGATAATAAGAGGTGTGTCAGCTGGTAATTATCACAATGAAGCCTTCATTAGTACTGTAATCATTCATATGTTTCAAATAAAAGAAACGCCCCTGCAGGTGAGGGCCCCATAGTTTTACTATGGGGAAGTAAAGAATACACCTGCCGTGATACTGCGTGTCGTAAGAGGCGACTAAAAGTGCATAGGTCAGGCCACCCGAAAAGTGACAGTTTGCGGAGGGCCAACTACCCGACCAGTAAAAAAGGAAAGTTATAGATAGAAACACGAACCAACATGCTTTATAATTTTTCCATCTTGAGAGACGGAGGAGCTTCTGCATCAGCAGGAACAATGAAGGACAGCAGACAAAGCCGAAAGGACTCTTCTGACCCGAAACCTTCTGTCAAACAAGTCTCTCCGGATTGCATCCTGGAATGTTCACACCATGTATGAAGCAGGAAAGAGTTCTCAAGTGACACAAGAGATGAAAAGATACAGGCTGCACATATTAGGAGTCAGCGAAACCCACTGGATACAGTCTGAACAGAGGCAGCTCAGCTCGGGGGAACAAATATTAAGAAGAACGAGACAGAGCCCAGTCAGAGATGAGGTGGGAAGAAGACGTTGGCGATGGATTGGACACACTTTCATGAAGTCAAGCAGCTGCATAACAATGAAATGAAAGTGTTAGATTGGAACCCACAGGGCAAAAGATCAAGGGGAAGACCACGTGGAACCTGGAGAAGAGTCACGGAAATGGATGTACAGAAAAGTGGGAAATGATGAAATAAAAGAGAACAATTACTTAATTAGCCTATATATCCTATGTGTACTATATGTACCCAAAAAAAATATTTTTAAAGATAACAGGGGAGGGAGAGGGGGGTAAGTGTGTGTGTGGGGGGGGGGGAGAAGAGGTGCATATCTCACCACATCTAAGATGTCGAACCTCTGGACTTTCTCAAATATTCCTCAATACAACAATAAAAGTTTAAATGAAAATCACACATCTCGCAGCTAGGCATGAACAGTAAACCACCTAAACTTTTCTTTCATTATTTCATTTCCGATGACAGTATTGTATGATGTCAGTCGACTAATTTCTACAAATCCAGTTTTCTTCTTCTTGGTGTCTCCTTGACAGATCTCAGGGGAAGCCAACTGCTGATTCTTCAACCTGCAGTGCAACTTATTTTGACATCTGAACGTTTTTCCTACTTCATTGGGCCCCTTGCATCTGATTTTGACGGTACTCTGTATTTCTTACTAGTAACTTAAGGCCACACACGGGTTTTTGGGAGGCCAATTTGGGTCCAAGCAATGTTTTTTGGGTTCTAAGAAACTTCCTTTGAAAATTATGTGCTAAATCGAATGGAAATACTCCTAAATCTCTAGATCTATATCAAAGAGATAGGTTCATAGAGTTTGTAACATTAAGAGCCAATATAATGCTTTAAAGTAATTTTGAGATTTTTTTGTTCCTCTCATCAAAATGTACATTTTTTGGCTTTAAAAGCTAAAAACTCAAAAAGCATTCAAGATAAAGACATAAAATTCGGAGGGTAAATGCACCATGCAATTCTTAAAATAAAATTATGCTAGCTCTTTCTAATTTTGGAAAAAAAAAAAATTTTTATTATGTTTTTACTTTGCTATTTTGACTGTTTTTTGTCATTCCTTACTATGCAAGTCTTCTAAAAGTAATAAAATTATTAATATTTACAATTTCAAGAAAAGCTTGCTTAATTTTTTAAAGATTTGTGTGCGATTACAAATATATATGTAATTAGTTCATAGATAGCATGGATGGTTTTCGAATTTTTAGCTTTTGAAAATGGTCCTTCAGATAGTCCAGTTTCACTGTAATTTGCCATTTCTGTGATTATGTAACTATAATGATTCTCAAAACTGAACATTTTTCATCCTTGAATGGAATACTTTGAGAAAATGAGAGAAAAACAAGTGAAAATATATCTAACTTGATTGTAGATTTTGGTGCTAAGGAGTAGAGTGAGGCCTTTTATTAAGTAGGCTTATTTTTAGTTTTGTGAATTAATTTTGAACTTTGTGCTGGTGGCCAGGTGGTGGCCAAAGCCTGCTCTTATCACTTTAGGACCACCACCTGATCTTAACAGTGCGTAACTTGCACACACAACCTCTATGAGTTTTCACCCTTACCTAAGATAGCTAGGTGTTTGACCTTACATTCCCTATGATCAGGAGTTCAGCTAAAATGCAACATTAATCAAGGAGCCTGTGGAGTAGTAAAAAGAGTCAAAAGTAAGGGAAAGAGGAGCAGAGAGGAGGCCAGGAATGGGGGGAGCAAGTAGTCATGGAAAGGAAGAAGGAGAACATTTAAGAGAAGAAAATTTTTTTGTCTTTGGAAGGTTTTGATCTCGTGATCTTTTGACTGAATAGAATATATACCACTAGAGACTGCTAAATCCTGTTGCAAGAGAATCGATAAAGGGGGGGTTTCTATTCCCAATGCCCAATTGGATGTAAGTAAAGAAAATGCTACCTGCTGAGTCATATCCTCTGTATTCCATGCGTTTCAAGCCATTGATGAGAATATCTAAAATTTCTTTCCTTGTTGCTGGCACGAGGTAGTTAAGATAAGCAAAGATACCTGAGGATAATGAGACAGATTATATGATCATTAATTAAATTTCACATAGGATATATAATATTACCCTTTACTAAATCATGCTATACAAACCGACAACACAAGGAGTGAAAAAGTACCTGGTGAAAAATCATGTTTTTAACAAACAATTGTTGCATCATAATATAGAGATTTGTTCTTCGGTTCTTTTCTGTAATAAAGTCAAATAAAAGTAAACATATGGTTGGTTGTGTTTATTAAAAGAACGAAGGTGCAGAACTACAGGATAAAAGTAGCCTTACTGAGTATGATGAGTCATTTTCACGACCCTATCCATCATCCTAATTAACAAAGTGTAATTTCCTTTAAAAATTAGACTCTATAATTAATGTATTTGTATTATAATGCCATCACCATCACAGTTTAGATCATTTAGGAGGAGGGCTGTTTCATCCCTGCTTGTCACAGCTGAGAGGGATACAACATCTCAGCGCAAAGATGGAGATACTCGTATTTATACTCAATCAAAAACTTCCCCACCAAGGAATCATACCTCTACATCTCCTACATTTCAATAGTGAGGAGCCTGAATCATTACACTAAAGTTTTCAGTCCACCCCCTTATGTGGTTTAAGGCACAAATGTTAACTTCATAAACTTCAGACTATCATAGTGACTAAGGTTTAATAAAAGAAAATGTTAATGCCAAATTGAACAAAAGAAACCTCTAGCAGGCCCAGAATGGGAAAGCAAAAAAGAGATTAAGACAGAGAAAAAAGAAAGAAAGAGAAGGAGAGGGAGAAACAGTGAGAAAGAGAAAGAAAGAAAAAGCGACAGACAGACAGACAGACAGACAGACAGACAGACAGACAGACAGACAGACAGACAGACAGACAGACAGAGGAGTAAAGTGAGCGAGAGAGAGAGAGAGAGAGAGAGAGACAGACAGACAGACAGACAGACAGACAGACAGACAGACAGACAGACAGACAGACCAATGGTTTTTAAAACATAAAATAAGTCTACTGACTTGCCTAATCTAATCTCACAGACCTTAGAATAAAACCTTCTTTCCTGACAGACAGACAGACAGACAGACAGACAGACAGACAGACAGACAGAGAGAGACCGACAGATAGACCGAAAAGGAGTAGAGAGAGCGAGACTGAGAGCGCAAGAGAGAGAGAGAAAGTGTGTGTGAGAGAGAGAGAGAGAGAGAGAGAGAGAGAGAGAGAGAGAGAGAGAGAGAGGGAGAGAGAGAGGAGAAAGAGAGAGAGAGAGGGCAAATGGAACATATGGAGAGAATGCCATTGGTCAATAAAAGCTAAATTTTTGTGCAATCTACTCTAACTGTCACTTGTCCATCACCCGGTTTAAAAAAATCAAAAACAAAAACAAACAAAAACTTAAATGACCACTTACAATGCTTCCGCGTTTCAACTTTTTTCTACATCATAACTATAATTATAATCACATTGTGATTGTCCAAGACGTCCACCTGTTTAAGTCAATCATTTTGGATGGCCCTCTCGGAAAATTTTGACTGTACATAATATGATATCTGATAATGCCCCAAGAATGCTTAAATTTTGCAAGAGCTTCGTGAATTTCTAGAGAGACAAGAAAGAATAAGAGTCATAAAGTGGGAAAGTTACATGAGATTACATCAAGGAAGTTATACAGTAATGGAGGCTGCTCTATGGGCAGCAACGCACGCCTGATAAAAGCCCTCTCTCCCAGCGGAAGCTGCCCGACTCTCGCACTGAAACCTAGAGATAGGAAAGAAGGTTTTATTCTAAGGTCTTTGAGATTAGATTAGGCAAGTCAGTAGACTTATTTTATGTTTTAAAACTCATATATTTATCTCCTTACTATTACTGATGTCTAAATGTAGATGTCACAGCGGCTCCGTACCTTAAAAAAAATTAAGTAGGGCCTACTTGCTTAACAACAACGGTGAATTACATTTTTATACATGTATAACTTCTCAGTTTAAAGAAAGAAAAAGGAAGGAGGGGGTGGGGGGGTGGAAAGAGTTTGAGTCTCCTTTAAGGCCACAAGAAGGGTGTCGGGGGTCCAGTTTGGGTCCAAACAATATTACAATGTATTTGGGTATCGAGAAACTGTCCTTTAAAATTATGCTAGATCGAACAGAAGTATTCCCAAAGCTCTATTTCAAAGAGATAGCTCCATAAAGTTTGTAACATTGTGAGCCAATACAATGCTTTAGAGCGATTATGAGATGTTTTTGCCCCTTTCCTCAAAATGTTCTATTTTTGGCTTTAAAAGCTAAAAACTCAAAAACCGTCCAAGATAAAGACATGAAATGTGGAGGGTAAGAGTACATCATGCAATTCCAAATAAAATGAGGCTAGCTTTTTCTAATTTAAAAAATATATTTTTTTAATGATTTTTTTTATTTTGCTATTTTGACTGGTTTTGTTATTCACCAGTGTGCAAGACTTCTAAAAGTAATAAAATTATTAAGATTTACATTTCAAGAAAGGCTATCGTCATTTTGTTAAGAATTGTGTGCAGATTACATGTAATTAGTTCATGTGTAACATGGATGGTTTTCGAGTTTTTAGCTTTTGAAAACGGTCCTCCAGATAGCCAGGTTTCATTCTAACTTGCCAGTTCTGTGATTATGTAACTGAATATGATTCCCAAAACTGAATATTTTTAATCCCTGAATGGAATACTTTGAGAAAATGAAAAAAAACAAGTAAAAACAACCGAATTGTAGATTTTGGTGCTAAGAAGTAGAGTGGCCTTAATACACTGGAATCCTGTTATTATAAGGAGAGGGAGGGGACCGGTACGAAATGTCCGTTATAGCAGGGTTCTCATTGTAAGGGATCCAGTTACAAATTCAAAGGAAATAGTAAAGTAGGCCTAATCTATGAATTTGGTGTTCTGTTCATTTCTTTTTGTTATCTCCTCTGATAATGGCTTTGTTCAACATGACCTGTAGGTCTTACTTGGTCAAAATTTGAATCAGGTTTCTTTCTCTCGTGTGAGCGATGTTGACAGCTCGGCGTTGGCTATCAGAACGAAAGTTCTCTAGGCTAACTCGCCCCCTGTGTTTTCCCCCACCCCATAACACCCTGTGGTGCATTCCCATGTCTGCTTGCAC